TTTCCTCGCCCTCACGCAGGCGGGTGACGCAGCCACGCCCCCCGAGATTTTCAAGGTCGGCCTGGCCGCTCGTGCCGCAGGAGTGTCCGACGAGGACGACGACGCCCGCGTGAAGTGGGCCCTCGTCCAGGCACTGGTATCGTACCTGTGGCGATGCACGGACCATGGCGGCCTGAAAATGTCCACGGCAGGCGCATACCTCCCGGCCGACCCGGCCACGTCAGGCCCTCCCGCAGCTGCCGCGTCCGCCAAGGAGGCCCCGCCCATCGCGCACCCTGACATCGCCGGCACCAAGCGCCTTCTGGACGAGATCTCCCGGGGAAGGAACGGTTGGGATGCGGCGAGCGCGAGCTCACCTAGCGAGGCGGGAGCGGGCGAGCCTAGCCTCAAGCAGTCGCTAATCTACGTCAGCGTCTCGGCCAAGGTGAGTCCTTTGTTGTGCGTTTGATTTTTGCTCTTTTCGGCGACCCACCTGCGATTACGGCAACCACCACTTTTTCGTTTCTCGTGACGGCTGTAATCGTTTTCCATTTTTCTCGACCCGCTTTCCCTCCGGTTTCTTACACATTTCGAGGTTCCAAACGACAGTCTCGGGCTACCCATGCCCTCTCTTATTCCTTCCCCTCTCTTCTTCGCTCATCCGGGTTTTCTCTCACACTTGCCGAACGCCCTTTTTCGCGGCCACCCGTTTTTCCGGGCTCAGATCTCTCTGTTTTCTGCTCGCGTTCCGATCTTTTTAGTTTTTCGTCCGCACCTCCGTATTCCATATTATTATATGTACATAATTTAGGTGTCACGTGAATATTATATGCGGTTTCCTTTGAGACGTGGGTCGCCCCCGATTTGGCTCTTGAACATGAATTTCGCGTTCCCAAGCATACAGCAGTAGTACATCGTTCATTTTCCCCCACACACTGCTGTGTACTCGATCTAGTACCTCTATGCTTTTCATTCATGTTTGTCTGGGCCTATAATGAATATATACATTTTTGTTTTGTTTTTTGTNCGTGGGTCGCCCCCGATTTGGCTCTTGAACATGAATGTCGCGTTCCCAAGCATACAGCAGT